GAATCGGAGTGGGCGGAACAGAATGTACCCGAGTCATGGGAGAGAACGTTAATAAATAATCTTCGATGGCTACGAAAGCGCTGGGATCTATTTATTTCAAAATATATTATTCAAAATAATCTAAATTTTATATTAAAATGTTCAGTGATCTAGTCTGTGTGCACTACCTCCGACGCAGCACCATTGTAAGTTTGTAAACAGCATGTTGGGATCTGCATTATCGCGCATTCTGCCGAGGGAAAAGTAGAATAATTATTTCTTATCATTCAATTATTGATTGGCAGTAAAACTATATAACGTATTATTAATTATCTTTGAAAGAATACGAAATGCTGATTAAGTTTGTTTAAGAAAATAGCTGAGTGTGAGGCCCCTCGTTTCCTGGTGGTTCAGGGCCCGCGAGGTCATTGAAGACCTGACAAGAGAATAAAAAGAGGAAGCGCGGAGAAGCGGTCGCGGGGTGGAGCGGGTGGTGGGGAAGGGGGGAGGGGAGGAGCTTGGCCGAGCGGGCGACGTCCACCGCCGCGGGGCAGGACGTCGGACGTCGTAAGTAAAGGATTTTTTACGACCGGACTTGTGGGGTGGGCGGTGTGGTTTTGGGGGAGTGGGGTGCTATTGTATGTTGTGGTGGGCGGCCCCTTCAAGACGGACCAGATGACTTTATCTACTACTGGGTTCCCGGCGCGGCGGGCAGGGTGTAAGACAGGAAGGGAACTCGCCCCGGCAGGCGGGCAGCGGCCGCGCAAGCACCGCCGACGAAGGCGACTGACGACCACGGCAACCGACGCTCCAGCTCCGAATGTTGCTCGTACTTTCATTAGTGCACGAGATGGAACTGGCAGAAATTGACAATCAGACTTTTGAAACGAGAGATTTCCCCGACAGTCTCAATGGGTGATTTCACGAAATATTGCTACAGTCTAGAGATGAATTGTTACGCTACTGTGCCTGGATGCTCAGCTATTCTGGAAGTCATAACCCGACCCGTACCATTCGAATATGATTTTTTTTGTTAGTGAACACTTGGATGCAGTTTTTTTAGAACAGTATAATTCCTTTACTACTCACCCCACTACTCCGTACTTCCTCCGTACGTAAATAGAAATATGTTTCAACTGATGACAATGTCACCAAATATTGTATTCATAGGTAAATTCAATATTTTCATGCAGTAATCTGACGAGTGTGTTTTTCATATCTTGAGAAAGTAACGAATGGTAAATAGATTCGCGTGAATGAACGCTACGAGATGACTAATAAGATCATTTAACGATTTAATTGTAACGTTTTCCATATTTCACTACACAGATATTCAGGTGAATTTTTCAAACAAAGTGTATTGGTGACCATCATGCCAGCTACAGGACGTTCATAAAAACGAAACAAATCGCTTATATATTCAGCTTATTCGTAAATTACATTCATTTCCAATGTAGTAATATACTCGTAATAGAGATAAAATCGATAAGCTTTTTACATCCCACATTACGTGTGTTCCTTAATTAACAACAAAAGTGCTATGGAAGATGCTTGAAGAAACATGTAAGAAATGAGGTGCTATCTTGCAATAATCTTAATCTTCATGTTTTCACTAACCTCCAATAATATTTTCATGATCTAAAGAACTACAAAAATAATCAAATTACAATTTTGAAATTATGTGGTTACAAAGACCGAAGTGAGCAAAATAACGAAAAGATTTATGAAAAAAACAATGGTTAAAAGTGAATAAGAGTGATGTTAAAAAAAAGCGTGAAAAACGCGTGAGAAAGTGAGAAAAGATCAAATTAGAAGTACTTGTTAAACAACCTTTACCGTACCACTTTCAGCAACCCTCTGTAAGTATAACAAATGAAAATCAAATTTTGCATTCTCAATAGCTGTTAATGATTACATTACGGTGGCGAAACCATTCCGACTGGGAACAGCTCGTGCTGCCAGGGTGGTAAGTGGGCTTAAAAAGTTGCCAAAACTTTCGTTATACACAAATTCGGACATATTAAAACGAACACAATTATGGTTCTTTTTATTAGTCTAATATATACCCTTTTATTTTGTAAATTTAAGAAGAAATCAAAATGACAATTTGACCTTTATGAAACACGCTTGTCTTTACTACTGTAAATCAGATATTTACCAGTACAACATTTTATTTAAAGTTTATATTTCACCTTAATGTATTTTTGAATTATTCCTTTCTTCCGTCTACTTTATTCCTCAATTCACTCGTATATTCATGTAAAGCAATACTAAGAAAATTACAACTCAGAATTCTTTCCCGGGTTGAAATATGAGGCTGCCTACTACAAGATCACAACCGTCAACAGCCGAAAGGCTGCAGGTCCGCTCGAAAGGTTTGGCAACCCTCGAGTGAGAGAGAGAGAGAGAGAGAGTGAGAGAGTGAGAGGCAGAGAGAGGGTGTCGGCGTGCGAGAGGAAAAGAGGTGAGCGGGTGAACACAGTCCGTGCCTACTTACTTCCGGTCCGGAGGAGCAGGCGGGGCGAGGAGCGGCGGGGCGGGCGGGGCTCTGGGGGCGGCGGCCGGCTGCTCCGCGCGCGTCGCGACCTGCAACCACCGCATACGCTCACCCTCCACGCTCACGCTCACGCTCACGCTTGCCCAGCGGCCGCTACTGCTACTGCTCCTGTTGGGGCTGACGCTGGCGAGACCCACTCCGCCGATCCAGGCGCGGATCCAAGAAGGCGACGGGAAGGGGCCACGGAAGGCGTGACTCTCCACTACACAGGCAACGCTCGCCTACCACGGCTCCCGAAGTGATTTCTTGGTGATAATTGCCACACTCGTTACTGAGCGTGGGAGTGATATGAGACTTCCGGCTTTAAACCGTTTCTTTAAAGAGAAGCATAGTTGTTGGTTGTCGTCTTCCGTTATGTGATAAGGATACCTGTTATTATGACGCGTAAATGAGAGAGGAATGATTCTGAATGGAATCGTGGTTCAGATGGGGGATGGGTTCACACGGGGTGGCATGAAAAGCCAATCCCACCTGGTGAAAAAACCCTTGCCTTACACGTGAAACGAACTCACATATTTTGACGTTGTCCCAGGCCTCTACGACACGGAAGATTGAGTTTCATGATCTGAAGACTGGCCTCGACATACGATTTATGTAATGGGGCCAGCATTATACAACAGTCTGCCTCATCAACTGAAAAGTCCCGACAGCAAAATGAATTGATTCGAAATGAAGGTTAACATATTCACAGTTAAGAAGGTAACTCCACTAAACAGACCCCATGAATGCGTCCTCTATGTATAAAATAATAACAGAAATTTTCCAAAGTGGACAGTCTTTAATAGCCAAAGTTTTACATTTTATTTTCTTCGCGTTCATTCTGTACGAATATCGTATTTCAAAAGATGAATTGGTTAGCGATCTGCTAACATGTGTGATTAATCAGCAAAGACAGATACTTGCCCTCCATTAAGATTCGATCTCGACCTTTAATAGTAAAAGATATCGCATTTGATTTCGAACACAGCATCCGTTACAAGGTGAAACTCCAACAGAAAGGTCGTCGAAAAAGTGCTTCCTCCACCAAAAGAGCCACACGTACGCACCCTTACTTGAAGGCAGATCCTCTCTTGTAAAGAAATGACAAGCGCGTTTCTACCAACACGTTATTCGGTGACGGGACTGCGCAAAGGGGAAAACAAAGGGAGTGCGAACTTGTTTACAGAGCAACTCAAATATGAAGTAGCATGAAAATGACTTCCCAGTGCTCTGTCGCTCACAAGGACACCAAGGCGGACACGGGAGCGCGTGCACACACATACAAACAATGAGCAACGCGCTATGGGTGTGTACCTTCCGCACTTCAGCGGGTAGAAGAGAGACGAGACAAATGGCAGCATCTCTAATAGGCGGAGGAGAAAACCACACAGGGAAATTCCTCTTAGCACAAAATACAAACATTATGGTTCACTCAATTTATGCTTATTAGATCAAGAAATAATTAACTATAAATTAAGCAGCAAATTTCGGTAAAACAACAATTTACTTGGTTTGAAGTATGTGGGGATAAAACATTAAAATTCACAACACGTGATTCCAGAATCCAAAGATCATTTTCAAATTTAACATTATTTTAATATAAACAGTCGCAGTAAACACTCCCATTGTTTAGAGTATTAGACTGTCCTCAATTAGTTATTCACATTTCCATCAATAATATTTAGATTCCAGATGCCTTTATTTAGGAGTTTACTACAAATTAAAAAATGGTATTACGGAAAACGTGCATCACTTCACATTTGTCCTAGAAAAAGTCCTTTCTGGAGTAAGTCTGCACAATTATGACTTCACAGAGATTACAATTCACTTGAATAAAATAAGAGTCGAAGATGAATCTAATCCCCCTCTGAATTCACGATTTCATACGAAAGCCGACGCTACCAAACATGAGTCTCCCCTGGTAAAACCTACATCTTATTTCGTATTAACGTGTTCGGACCTCGCGTGGAGAGGTCCTCGTTGACCTCAAAAGAGACAAAGTCCGACCAAGAATGATTTAGATGGGGCAATGACCCTAGAATGAAGATTTAACTAAAGTAGGGCAAGGTAATTTAAATACAGGTGCACTCCAGTGTCCTGATGATGTAGATTACGTAGTATGTCCATGACTAATACATTACAGCCTTGTTGTGACCATATCGGAAAACATTTGTATTCGACCAGCAATTAAAAAATATTTGTATCCCATTAAATTATATACATTACCAATTAGAACTCGTACATTGAAAATACATCAAGATGAAGCAGTAAGTTATATTCATTAAAAATAATTAGGAAGATTTGAAGTAATAAAAACGTGTATATATATATATATATATAAATATATATATATATATATAGCGAGAGAGAGAGAGAGAGAGAGAGAGAGAGAGAGAGAGAGAGAGAGAGTATTCACTTCCAAAAATTAACTAACATTTGAAACCCGACCTTTGATGATTGGTTTCAAAGACCCACAATTCATCCAATTCATTCCAAACAATTCATCAAACAAAAGAAATACAATGAGCCACGTAAATCAGGGCTGAAAACCGTCTCAAACAAATAAGTGACCGCAATTTGCAACACACGTAGAACGTGAAAACACAAACAGCCAATTTCCACGAAGAGCACAAAGAATTGGAACAGTTTGACAGACGAAAGGAACGACCGGGCGTCAAGGAGAGCACGAAGTGTTCTCGGGGGTCACGAAAAGCCCGCTGCCCGAACGACGCGGTCAGCGTTCGTGGGCGGGCGGGGTCGACAGGAAGCGGCGGGGCGCGACCGCGACGCGCGGGCGTGGGGCGTGGGCTGGGCGTGGGCGTGCGGCGCGGCGTGGGCGCGGGCGTGGGGCGCGGGCGGGGCGTGGCGCGCGCTGGCGCAGTGGGGCCGCGCGTGATAGAGATGCGGGAGGCCCAGAAGTCCGGCGAGGAGGGCCCAAGCGGAAGGGTGGAAGGCGACGGGGTATTTTAAGCTACGCGACACCCATGTTTATCTGGCAGGAGATTTGTGCCTCATGAAAACTGCGTGGGGTGTTTGAAAATGAGTTCCGTCAGATAACGTGAATCGGAATGGATTAAAATAACCATGCCATGTCGGTAAATATTAGGTTACGCCATTTTAGGGAAAGGGCACAAACTGTTCGTTTCATTATCACTTGGAAAACCTTTTTTTAATGTTATAATTAATAAGATAAAAAACTGAACGAATATTCCGTGAAGTATGTGCAAAACCTGTTTATATTTGATCATAGAAATGTCTACAGCATCGTAAATAATACGATGACACGCACGTTTTATGTTTAATAAACATTATGATAAAAAACTGAAGTATTATATGCATTGGATTAAGAATAATAATCATAAATTTATCTTAACCAAAACTCCGTTTGAGGAAGCATTTCGAATTTTAACAAGAACACCCGGAACTAGCTCGAAGGGTAACAATCTGGGCCACGCGAAAACAAACTCAGAGCATGGTAGACCGTCTGAGAAGCGGTTGGCCTGGCCAGGGAAAATGGCGAAAACAGCGGGAGGCTGTTGCCGGGCGCTGGAAGTCGAGGGAAGCAGATGGAGGATGAGTAGGGCTGCGCGGGAGATGACGTGTATTTCAGGCAGTGGCAATTACGTGGGGGCGGAGGGATGGCGGGCAGGGAGGGTTCGCGTGCGCAGGCGCTATTCCTCGCGCCCTCTGGGCGAAGGCCGCGTGAGAGGACCGGCCGAGACCCTCTGGGCCTCGCGTCACACGAACACCGAACGGCTCCATTCCGTCCGACCTACCTCGACCACCGTACGAGGTGGAATATTCATTTTTGTGTGCTTCTTTTTCATACTAGGATTGAATAATCAGTTTCTGTCAGAAAACCCACCCGTTTCGTTCATTCTGAGAGAATATATTACAATACAATTGTTATTATAAAATAAACAACGTTCTACTCGTAAAGTTCCCCAAATAAGGGCAATATAATAATATTCAACAACATTATTATATTATTCAACAACATTATTCAATAATAAACAACGTTCTACTCGTAAAGTTCCCCAAATAAAGGCAATATAATAATATTACAACGTACTAATATTCGAAATATCCGGACTTTATAGCGGACTTAACAGCGTTACGTATTTCAGTGACATACGTATTAACAGCAATGTTCGAATGTCCCGTACGATATTGGATTTTTTCCACCACATGCATGTGGCAAGGTTGACTTCGCATATAAGTTAACCATCCTCCCTAAATCATCATCCCACCCATAATCGTTCTTCTGTTATCAGCTTTCAACCTCCACCACTACAACCATGCACTACAAAACAAAACACGTCTGTGATCACTGCTAGGGTAGTATTACAACTGCAAGCTTTCTATCTCGTCTACGCTCAGAAATTAGAAAGACATTTAACCAAAATCAATATTCTAAATACTCGTATACATTTGCAGCAGAGCATTTTAAAATATCTGTAATGAAGAATGCATGCTGAAAACATGCATTAAGAGTTTCAACACAATACCAGTAAAGCAGAATATAATCAGAAACGTGTATGAATTTAACAAATCCGTACGTACACGTTTGTTGAGCGTATATAATGGATAGTGGGAATAAAATTGTGACTTTTGTAAGAGATACAAGGAGAGAAGCAATACCTTACAAAACTACAAGACTCCATCTACTTCGGCCAAAGGAAGTTCGATCCGGCTGCAGCCAGTCGCCTCACCGCCTGAGTCCGCATGCTCGGCACAACATCACATGAATATGCAGACCCCGCTCTTCTTACGTATGTGCTACTACATCAGACGCTTGGTACGCATGTACGTTATCATTTCATCCGTTCAATGGATCCGCTAAGTACATGCAAATGGCTTGGGATGCAACAACTACACTATTTGCATTCATGGGCCCCTATTACGTAGACTTCTCTGACACGAACTACACAGTCATCATACCGTTAAGATTAAACGTAATCGTAACAATGTCTCGAAGCCAACTCTTAAAAATATATCATTTATATGATGGAAGAGTAAAAGTAAAAAGAAAACAACGAGGAGAATGACG